CTGCTGGTGGATTTGGGAGAGGGGACAGATTTTTAAGAAGAAGAGAGAGCATGGCTCTAATAGGTGTTTTATGGTAGGGAGGGTATTTCATCCATTTATGGCCATCGAGGTAAAACATTTTCAAAGGGAGCCCTTTCACTGATGCGCAGCCTCAGCACAGAGGGTGAGGCTGAATGTGACATGGGCTGGCATTTTCCAATGTGCCTAAGGGAATTAGGCACCCCAACACCATTGACATTCAATTGGAGTTGAGCACCTAACTCCCTTGGGCTCCTTCGACACTCCCAGTCCTGGAGCATAAACTGCTGTCTCATCCCTGGATGGGGCTGCTGATACCATGGGGGCAAATGCAGTATGAAGCCCTAGGGAGAGATGGCCATAACTGAGACACGTTGGCTGACGTAGCTTAGGTCGACTTGCTGCGGTGTTTACACTGTGCTGTGTCAATGGGAGACGCCCTCACAACGACCCATCTTGGGGAGCTGGAGTACTAGAGCTGATGGGAGAGTGCCTTAAATCACATCACCTCCCTAAACCAGGTGATGCAAGTCCTAGATGATACAAAGGCTTGGGAGGTAGCAGAGGAGGTTTGGCTGCATCTCTGGAGAGTAAACTCCTGTGGCTCCCATCCCAAAAACTGAGACTCCACCAAGAAGGATGTTAGAACTGGCCAAGGGATGTGTCTATAGCAAAGGTACGGGGAGCCGGGCACAGCTGTACCGAAAGCTGCCTTAGATGCCAGCACATTAGTGAACAGCTTTGAAGCCAGAGCAGCCAGTCCTACATCAACTAGGCAAGACTTCAGAGTGTAATACAACACACACAAACGCTGCTGATAAATAATGGATCAAGCCTGCTGCCTTCCAAAATCTGCTCACGGTGAGAGTCCACGGGCTGGGCTTCGCTAGAAGAGGGTGCCAGCTGGCAAACAGTTCCGTTTAGTAATTTCACTGGCCTAGTGGGCACTTCTCATCTTCTCTCAATTTCTTCCGCTGCAATTAATGTGGATCGGATGCAAGAAGCCAGCACAGTCCTGGGCGAGGTAGGCAGACCTACGGGCAGCATTGCGGTTTTGCTGTGATTCTGTCACACACAAAGTCCATTGTTCTACACACTGAATAGAAGAAAGTTAATGCCCTGTGCAGACCTGGTGAGAGTGGCTACAGAGCTGCTAATCTCGGGCTGGCTTTCCATCTCCCTTAGTTTAAAAAAGCCAGGGAGCCCTCCTAGAGGGTTGGTATCCACCCAGGGAACAGCACAATGTCCTCTAGCTTGAAAGTTCCTTGGGGGCAGAGGCAGCATTGCAGAAATAATCAATTATGTTCTGAATCTCAGCATGTCCTTTTAAAAACTCCTTGGCAAGCTCCTAAGCCTCCATTTTCAAGGTCCCCCCCTTTCAATTGTAATGGAGAGTACGTCTTCATCAGGCTTTATGCCACCATTTCTAGCACTGGTCAGGCCCTCCTGCTGGCAGCAGCAGAGGAAGCCCTTGTGTAGACCAGCTCCTGCCGTAATCTCTGTGCCACTGAGACCTGCTCTGACAGTCACCACATTGCTTAAAACACTGCTGACCAGCTGGCCTCTGCTGTCCTGGCTGCTGTTTCCACTTCTCCAGTGCCTCACGAGGGTGATTGTCACAAGAGCTCAATGCATCCTGGGAGATTTAGGGACTCTGGAGAGTAACGCGGTTATATAAGGAACTGATGACTAGGAGCAAAAGAGCTCCTGAAGGAGACAACTGCCAGTTTGCTTGGAAATAAGATTCTGCCTTTCAAGGAGGAGCGTAACCATCTGCATTATGGCTACACGCACAGAGCATAAGTGTTTCCCTTTATGGCTGTGTGAAGGACCACAGTGTGGCAGTTGCCATGGCAACTCCCTTTTTGAACACTCCATTGTTAAATAGTCACGTAAACTCCCCAGTAAGTGTTGCTGCAGCGCCCTGGGCTCTGACATTCTCTGGCTTTTCTCTTTTCACTCCAGGAGCCCCTGTCTTGCTTCAGATCACTGGTATCCTGCAAAAGCCTGGGCTCGTCTGCTGATCTGTACTGCCTAGAGGGTGCTGCTGGATGCTGCTCATGTGCTGACCATGAGGCGGCCCCGACCCTTGGGGCTGCCGGCAGGGGGTGGGAAAAGGAAGGCCAAATGGAGCCCAGATCACCCAAAATCTTACATTTCTGTGAGAGGGCTCAGTCCCCTGACCTGTCCTCTTGAGAGTCTACCGGCCCTTTGAGAGCTTGCTCTCTTAGCCTTTTGCACAGCTCCTGCTATCTTCAAATCCTTATGCGGTATCCCTCTTCGGCTTGGTCACAAGGCCTAGGGGGCCCAGAGAACAGGAGAAGGGGGACCCAGTTAGGCTGGCGGGATTTCCCCAGCTGTCTCACCCCAGTCCCCAGGGAACTTCAGGTTCTGCTCCCAAGGCAGCTTCCTGCTACTTGTCTGTTCAGGGTGGGTATTCCTCAGCCTCTCTAGCAGCCCCCCTCTCCTCTTGCACCCCCTTATCCCAAGCATGGCTGGGCAGCCAATTAGCACCACCATTACAACAGGGAGCTTTTGTTTAGAGAAACATTACACAGCTATCTAATCATTCGATCTCTCTAATATAATCCCTTTCTAATCTTCCTCTTGTTGAAGGCTGCCTGCCCTTCCCTAGGTGAAGGGCACAGTGAGTGTCACACAAAAATAAACATTTGCCATGCTGGGCAGCCATGGGTACCTCCACCTGGGACTCTTCCTACAGGAGTCAGCCCCGAGGCATGGTAGCTAATCCTCACTGCACCCAGTATACAGTGCCTCGGAGACATGGGAAATGCCATGGTACTACCAACACCATGGGACAGTTGCTGTTTACTTGTTGTTGGTGCCCAGGATTAATCAGACTTTGATTAGAAGTGTTGATGTAGAAGTATCATTATCATGCCCAGGGGGTGCAGAACCAAAGGCAGGGTTGGCGGTAAGCCCAGAAGGCTGTGAGGAGGCTGAGTTCCACAAGGATGTGGTGTGAATAGCATCTCCCCAGGGGAATCATTAGGGCTCTAAAATATTAACGACATGGCAAAACCAAAGAAGAAAACAGCACTTAAAATCCATAGAGACTGGAGCTTCCAGGGAATGGCTTGCCCAATGCCCATTGACTTTCAGTGGGATATGGGTGCTTTAGCTTCCTTTGAAAGTCCCAGCCCGTATATTGGTGATAATCCCATGGTGGATGTGATTGGGTGAAATGTAAGATGGGCCCCTGGTAACCAGGGTGGGTTCTGTCCTTGCAGGAGCTCATCTTATTCTCACCACCTTGCTATCTACTCCCCTCTCTGGTCAATGTTGTTTGGTGATGATGTGTTATAACATCTTGCCGTAGTTCTGGGGTAACAAATGGAATGATTGCATTACTTTTTTCACTTCGAATGCAACAACACTAACACTCCCGCGGTGTAGCTGCACTTGCAATTAGTTATTTTGTGGGTTTTTTCCACAAAGACTATTTTTTTTCCATTTATGACTCTTCCTCTTTAGCTTCAGTATATGTTTCTTGAGGATGATTTGGGCTGCCCCCATGGAGGCAGGGGATCAGACCCCAAACAGGTAGGCTTTTGTTTCTTTACTGGTTTATAATGACTGTGCCACAGATACCCCTAAATTTAAACACTTTATGCATCCGATGAAGTGAGCTGTAGCTCACGAAAGCTTATGCTCAAATAAATTGGTTAGTCTCTAAGGTGCCACAAGTCCTCCTTTTCTTTAAACAAAACAAGTTGAAGTTAACAGCTCCTGAGATTGCACACACAAATGGACAGTTAGGCATGCAAAAGAGGCATTTTAAAATGCTGATTTGAGCATCCAGATGTGAGATTTGTATGTGTTATTTCGCTTCCATGTTTATAAAGTAAGCTCCCTTTCTTTAGGGAACCCTTAAGGACACTGTATGCTGTGAGGCTTGCCTGTTTGCAGCCTGACCTACTTCCCAACAGACATTTATATTTGTAGCATTACACTGGGGCCTCCGGCTGGAGTGTTAACATGCTAAAATTCAGTTAAACTGGCATAGCAGCAAAGTCCCCATTGCTCTGGATGGTATGGTGATAACATCTAATAATGACTGTTTCTTTCCTAAAGCTCTTTAACAAATTAATCTTGTAAAACTGCGCCTACATCTGCACCTACATCTGCAATGCAGCCACTTCTACAGCTGTTAACAACTATACAGTGATACTGCATATGGGAGTGAAAAAAAATCATGGCTGGATTCTCCACTGTTTTGCATTTGGTGCCATAATTTATTTCTGTGCAAACCCAGAGTAAAACGCTACCAGATCAGAGTAGTAACATTTTACATGAGTCTTGCACTGGGATAAATGACCAAACTAGCTGCAAGGGACTGGACACTCCTTCTTTGGCCAGATTCTGATGTTATTTATCATGGTGTAAATCCAGAGTATCTCTACGGAAGTCAGTTGCATTGCCTTGGATTTACACAGGTGTAAATGAGCTCAAAGTCTGTCCCTGTCTCTCTTACTGGGAGCTTCATGGGCCTGTTCTGGTACAGAAATGGCCAGGGTCCTTGGCTTTACATCTCATCTCGAAGACAGCATCTCCAGTGGCTCAGCCCCCGTGAGCAACCTCTCAGGGCCATTGGTTCAGTACCGATTCAGAGGGTAGGGGACTGACACCATTTCCTGCGGTGCTTGTGGGGCCAGGAGATTCCTTAGAGGGTTCTGATCCTGTTAAATGATGACAGGAGGGAGTCACACACCCAGGGAGAACAGAGCCCTACCGACGGCCCCCTAAACTGACACCTGGCTCCTGCATAAATAAAGGTGGGAAAGTAACAAATTGCAATAGTTACTGCACTTTATTAGCTTGTTCACAGTGTAGCACTTGCAGTCCTACATAGCCCATAGAACCGTAACTGTAACTTTTTTATATGGCAGCTGTCTGCCTCTGGCAGCCTTTTATGGATCATCTGAAAAGCTAAATGGAACTTTTCCCTTTTCTTTTGGAAGCACATCAAACGCCACTACGGCATATCGTTCTCTGGAGCAGAGGGCTGTGTGCAGGCCACCTGGGAAAGAGAGAGCAATGGTGAGTTGAAAGCAGTTCAGCGGCTTCTCCGGTACCTCTCTGCTTCTTCCTTACCCCACCGCCATCCCCCTGCTTTGTGGGAGACAGGGCCCGCCTCATGGTGCTGGGGCCCCAAGCAAGAACTCAGAGGATTTGGAATCTGTAACCATGGGCATGTACCAGGAGCTAAATACTCTGGCTTTTTGACAGTATGAAAGTATGGCCTGAAGTGAGTGTGTTCTGTGCATCGTGAGTGTATGTGAACAGGTAGTGATCTGGAAAGCTGCCAGACAGGTGGTCCTATAGATTGCAGCCCTCTGTTTACCCCAAACAGGTAGAGGGTAGGACAAGCATCCCATGTGCTGCTCTGGCTGGGGGCTTTGGCCTTTCTCTGGAGGGACCACCTCAAAAACTGAGAGGAGATTCTGGTTCCTCCAGCTGTCTGCTGGCACTGCTTACAGCGATGCCATGAGTGCCGGCTGGGGCGGTGGTTTTTGTGATGTGGGCACCTGTCTTCATGCATATTGAGAATTAAGCAGCTCGCAATGGCAGAAATGGAATTGCAGCAACTTATCCTGCGGGAGGGTTGGGTGAGAAGCTGTTGCAGCTTGTCCTGCTTTTGCAGGAAGTGAGCTGGGGCTGGAGATGCTGTTGGCATGAGGCAGAACTCTATGGCTTTGCCCATTTGAAATATTATTGAGAAAGTAAAACAATGAAGCAACCCCGCTTGTTATGTCCACCAGGCTGTGTTCAACGGGGAGCGTTCACGTCCCTGCTTTTGGTTTCTCCTGGGCAAACGAGGATGTCCGTGTCCCACCAAAAGGTACAGCAAGCTTTCTCTGTAAACAAGAGTGGCCACCTCAGGTCACCCTCCCATAAACTAGCCTGAAAGAGCTCCCCCATCTCCCCCACTGAACCGGAAAAGCAAACAGAGGGTAAACACAAGAGGAAAGGCCCAGGGACTTTGCCACGTCTTGCACTGGTGGCACTCATGCTGTGACCTACACCCAGTGAGTGACAGCCCAGCAGGACACGTCACTCTCACTCCAGGTGCAGAGGGCGGGAATGGCGCTCAGTGTGTGTGCCACAGGCAGCGAGGGTGCTGCTCTCCAGAGCGTGGCCGAGGTAAAAAGGGCCCGGGGATATTGACCGCTGAAAGGGCTGAGATTCTGGAAAGGGGCAGGGAGGCCAGGGGGCAGGAATCAGAGAGACTCCTGCCGAAGGGAAATCGTAAGGTGTTGTTAAGAAGCCAATCAGGGCAGCGAGGTGAAAGGAGGTGCCACTCCACTCTGGCAGAGTCAGGCGGGATTGGGAAAGGTGCCAAAGGAGCCCTGGCAGCAGAGAGGAGAGGTAAGGGCAGTGCCCTTTGGCGGGGAGGGAGGGCATTCAGCACAATGGAAGAAAGCACAGAGCAGCAGTTCAATAGCAAACAACCGCACTCTGACGGCAGAGGAGTGTGGGGAGCTGCTTGTGCTGGGAGCAGGGAGCGTGAGGCTGGCCAGGGTGGGAGCTGTATGTGAGACACAGGCCTGACACAGCCCATTCAGGAATGGGACAAGCGACATGGCAAAGGGAGAGGGTGGGTCCTAGGGGGGCTGACATCGCAGGGGAGAAGAGGCCAGGAGGAGGAGGAGGAATAAGAAACAAACCTTCTGCGTATGGCTGCACAGTGGGGGCTGGGGTGGAGGTGGAAGGGCCTGGGTTTGCTAGGCTGTTGGGATGTCCTTGGATTCCCTGGGAGTAGAATAGAGCCCTGGCTGGTTGTTACAGGTCAGGCCTCTGGCTTAGCTTACCTTGGCTGGCACAAAGGACATCCCAACGTTTGCTGCCTCCTGGCAGGTGCAGCTAAGGCTTGGTGGCACAATGGGCTCAGGCATCCACTATTCACTTGTCTACCTTTGCTAAAGTGATCCAGCTACACCTAGACTCCAGTTCTTCTGGGGTCTATGTTGTTTCCCTAAGGCCACTGTCACTTTAAATAAAAAGAAGTGGGATACAGCAGAGGCAGAGTGGCGCAGTCGGGTTCAGTGTGAGGCTCACATACTGTGTGTGGAACCAGCTGAGCACGCGTTGTGGTAGCTTTCCTGTGCGCCCTCTGATGGGGAATAGGGATCGCGACTGCTCACTCCAGGGACGGAGGCTCAGCTGCCCTCTACAGTGTATATGATGGTCACAAGTGGAAATGCATTTACTGGGTCTCAGCCAAAGCTCTGGGGGGCTCTTATCCACATCACACACCCACTATGTGCCATCTGTACCTGACAAGTGCAAAAGTCAAGCAGGTGGAATAGAGAATATTAAGAATGAGGCTCAACATTAAGCAAATTTCCCTCCCACTCACATGTTTCCATATTGCATTAAAGGAGCTAGCTAAGGAACACATGAAATATTTTCTGTCCTTCTCCATTAGGGTGCGGGGGTTATCAGGAGGAGGAATGGCCAGAAGTTATATTTCAATGAAGCATTAGGAAATGCTGACCTGTAGCACTGGCAAAAGGTTTAGCCACATCTTTGTGGAAGTGCAGAATTGATGGATAGGTTGGCTGACCCCAAGGACACAATGGGAACTTGCTGGAAGCCACAGGTCATCTCCTCTGGCAATAAATCAAGCAGATCGTGGTTGCCTTGGTAGTACTCACAAGGGATCCGTGGTCTGGGAGCGTAACACCTCTCCTTTGTCTTTCCTAATGAGGTGTGGCTCACACGGAGAACTCAGCTTGCAACACTTGATCCTGGGTGGCACTTCTGTGTTAAAGGACAAGAAAGCCACAGGCCATCCCCTCCATGGGGTACATTTGTCTGTGGAAAGTGCTTTGACAAGCCTTGATTTGTTTCTTGTAGCTCTGCATTCTTGTGGCAGGCAGCAGTCTCAGCACAGTGTGTGCGTGTCTCTTTGTGGGCGTGATTATGTTGCTAGGTCTTTTTTGGGAGTCTATTTTTTGCTCACCTTGCTTACAATAGTTTATATCTGTGTGGTAACTTCAACACTGAGAATGTGTCCTGAGCAGCACACAAATCATACTGGAGGTCACTTGGTAGCCTGTTGAAATGCTGATGCTCATTGAGATTGTCCTTATTATGCACAAAGACTTCCGAAAGTTCGCTGTCACATGGATTCTGCTGATGCTAGACAATAGCAGCAAAAGGTATTTTTCCTCAGGGATGGGGAATGCCCCAAATTAGCCCCTTTTTCAGAGCAGTTGGGCCTTGTCTACATGAGAAAGTTGCCTTGGTTTAACTTAAATTGGTTTATAAACCAATGTCGCTAACCTGGGGCAATCCCCTGTGCAGACCCCATTATTTCTGTTTAAAGGTGGTTTATTTAGCTTAAACTGATTCTTCCCTCTTGAAAGCTCAACTGAACTAAAGGCCTCCCCACAGGCTTTTGCACTGGTTTAACATCCCACCTTAAGTTAAAGTGGTTCATAGACAAGCCCTTAGACAGACAGATGTTGCAAACAGGAGTGACAGCCCTACCACGTCCTCTGGATCCTTCACCTATGATAGATGCCTGAGAAAAAGGTGGCAGACAGCGATTTCGATAAGCTCTGCTTAGTGCAGTGAGAATCTCTGGGGAATCCATGTTTAACAGAAATATAACTGTATCCAGTTCTGAGCAATATGATCTATCATCTCTAATATACATAACAATTAGGGATTTAAAACAACAGTAGTTTTCTATGACAGCATTTACTCTTAGGACAAAAGCCTGCCCTCCAGTGTGCCCGTAGCGCCCAAGAGGGCAATGTAAGCACCTCGGAGAGCAGAACCTGGCTCTAATCATCTGCTTCTATTCATCTACAATCACACTCCTCTCCCTCCAACTCCTGGAAGCAAAGTGTGAATTTTTTGCCATTCACTGAAAAGCTGCACAGTGCCCCCATGCACTGCCCCTGGTGACACTGCTCTTTGTTAACATAATGTGTGAAAGATAACAGCAAGAGAACTGTAATTATAACATTACAATCTTAGGCTTCAACCTGTGTTCGGCTTGTTTCACTGGTAGGATGGGAAATAATTTCGCTATAGAGAATGTTAATAAGAGCTTTTATAAGAGATGAACACACAATATCTACCTATCTATCGCAATACCGAATAATGAAATTCAGGGAGTAATAATTATCAGTGCATGCGGATTCCAGGCAGAGCAATGATCACAAGTGCCGTATGATTAACTACTTTTTATTTGTACAGCTGTCTCCCATCCCTTAGTTTGTTTTCACAAAACACTGTTTCAGGTGGCTCCATCTCACACTGATAAGGCTTCTAGTGTTTCTTGTTTAGCTCTCTCGTCTTAAGATGCCTGTCAGGGACTGACAATTAAACGCATTCCCAGCAAATTTCAGCAAGCAAATGTGCAAGATCTTAAGAAATCAATTGCATTAAAAATTAAAGCTGGAATCACTGTTACAGTGAGAAAAGATTTGCTAACATTTTGTTTACAAATCACAGATACTGAAGACGGCAAAGTGGATGTAGAGTGACATGGAAAACTCCCCGTCCTCCCCCACCAATTATGGTGCAGCCTGAGATGCCTCCTATCCTCAGGGTTAGTAGAGTTGGCACGATTGAAGGAGCATTTCTTGGTCCTACTGCGACTGAATGGGGAAGCAAGTAGGTGACTAATCCTCTTTTGGCCCCATGTTTGGACTGTGAAGGCAAATGAGTTTGGTTGCTGCTGCCAGATCACATAGGCACAGCAGATACCTCTTGCAGCACATCCCCCCTCTTGAGACAGGGTTGTTCCCCACTCTAGGGGAACTGCTAACATTTAGCTGCTTGGTTCTGCAGAGAAAGGCAGAGCTGCCAACATGATTCCTACGCCTCCTAAAGTCTGCATGTGAAGTTGGAAAATCAGCTCCACAATCCTTGATGCTAAAAGGACAGGAGGACTTGTGGCACCTTAGAGACTAACCAATTTATTTGAGCATAAGCTTTCATGAGCTACAGCTCACTTCATCGGATGCTGTAACACTCAAGAAATAGAGACATCGAAAGCACCAAGGTTGCATGTATGATGCTTCCAGGCCAGATGCCAGCTCTTGCCCAGGCTGCAGGCATTAGCTGGAACGGACAAACTTGTAGCTGCAGACCAGACCAGTTGTATCTTAGTTTGGCTCAAAATAGGTATTAATCTAATAAGATTAATTAATCTAGTATTTAATGTTTAGACTCTATGAAATACTTTTAAGTTGTTGCCTGCGTTAATCTCACTTGCAATATGGGTGTTCCATGCTGTAAGAAAATATGTAAGTTTTGCTTTATAACTCTGAAAGTGTTTGCTCTGAATTTGTGAACCCAGGCACGAGAATCATCTCCCCCGCCTATCCAGAAGGACAATCAACTCAGATAGGCCATCAAGGAAAATTGCAATACAAAGGATTGGTTAATGGCCCTATGGCACCTTGAAAATGCTACGTGCAAGGAAGTGCACCCTGTGGACTCGGAAAATTTTCCTGTGACTTTGTTTATTTCCTTCATTCAGCTTCCATCTCTTCCTTGTTTGAACTCTCACAGGGCTAGAGACACCAAACGGAAGCCAGAGATCCCTTCTGAGTCTGCCCTGAAAGATATTTGAATTGACAGGTCACTACAAGGCTGTCGCTCTTTGGATTTAGATGATAATCCATTTGTGTGTATGTTTGCTGCTTTAAACTTTAAATAACTCTCTTATTTCTTTTTCCTAGTTAATACACCGTTCTGGCTACAGGCATTGTCTGTGGTGTAAGATCTAGGCCCCAATTGGTCTGGGGGTACGTGACTGGTGTCTGGGCACTGGAAGCAACCTGAATATTGTGTGCGTTTTGGTGTAATTGACCATTGATCACGAAGTCCAGTTTGCCTGGGTGGCAGGCTAGGCTGGAGAGTCCAAAGGGACTGCCTGCGACTCCATGGTAAGACTGTGGCGGCAGTCCAGGAAGTCACATTTGTTACTGGCTTGGTGAAAGCTACTTATGGAACACACCACAAGTCGGGGCGTCTGCCCTGGTTTTGACAGGCTGCCCTGAGATAGGCACTCACACTTGTGAGCCGCTCCAGACAGTGTGACAGCATGGGCTCACTCAAACCTGCTCTGTTATTGCGGGCTACTTTCTGAAGCTGCTAACCCCGCCACGAACACTCCAAGGATTTTTTCTGCAATATAATTATTTATAATGAAATAGACTTTAAAACAATGGCAGGAAAAGCATGTTGGGCATCAAGAGCCAAAGTCCGCCATCCTCTTTTGTGATGAGAGATGATGTAATTACAGATTGCGGCTTTTTTTGCATGAATTTATTTACTAGCCTGCAGCACAGTATGTCTTCAGAATGTCTTTGTTTGGCTAAGAGATGATCGAGTGACTGGGGACCTTGAGAAAGACAGAGATGTCAGTTTCTCTTCACAAAGTTTCTATTTAAGATCTGTGGTGTGTGCTGGCAAATATGTCGAAGGTTTCCTCTGCTGCCTGTCTCTCCCCAGCGTTAGACAGCACTCTCGTGCACTGCTTGGGCCATACGCAGCAGCTGTTGCAAAACTCAGGTAAGTAGTTCTTTGAATAGGCCAAACTTTAAGAGGACATCCTGCGGCATTAGTCAGCTGCTGCTTACCCCAGAATAAGTCTGGAGCGGTTCCGGTGGAATCAGTGAACAAAATACAGAGATCCAGCTGGTGAAAGCAAACTGATTTTGGTTAACACGAGAGGGGAGAGGGAATAACAGAAGTAACTTAATCCCTGTTCCCTGCCCAGACAAGTGGATCTGGGGGCCAGGACCAGCCCGAGCAAACATGTTGTTCTCCGGGCTGATGGTGAGGGGACCGAGGCACAGAGAAGTGAGTCAGTATCTGTGCTGGGGTTAGAAATGTGCAGCTCCTAATTATGTGTTTACCACCAGCATCCACACTCCTGTCTCAGCAGTCAGCCCTGGGCCCTGCTGCTGCAATGGGATCTTCAGGTGCCTTCCGGTCTTCAGCAGGACTTTGCTTGGGGCCCAGGGACCAACCAAGTGGATCCTGCTGCAGCATCTGGGCTTTGCATCAGTTTGGTGGGTTTTGTTCTGTCTGGGTCGGGTCTCCCTCCTGCCTTCTCGGCAGAAAATGACACAGTCTCTGGGGTGGTGTGTGTGGGGACATGATGGGAGAGCCCCCGACGTCCTGGTCTGCAGGAGTTTGTGGGGTAGGACCGACTGAGGGACGGAAGGAGCTGGGGGATCCACAGCTGCACTGAACCACTGTTTTGCCACCCCCCACTCAGCACCCAGGTAGGGAGTGAAAACAGCCACGGTGATGCCGTCTTGGCCATGGAGTGTGGTTTGGGGGGGGGGGGGGGGTTCTCCCTCTGCCCCAGGCAGCTCCAGTAAATCTCTGGCGAGCCTGGCCAGTGCATTCAGGTTGTGCACTTAGAAGGAGGAGGAGGAGGAGCTGGCGGCCCCATGTCCAGCTCTGCACTTAGCTAGGCATGCATGGCCTGCCTTGGGGCTGCAGGTGTTTGAGGGTCTGTGCACATTCCAAATACATATGTTGCTTTAAAGCCACATTTTAAGAACTGGCTTCTGGTTTTGCATCGAGCATGAATTGTGCCTACAGAGAAGGCAGACGGGACATCACCATAGGTGCAAAGATAGAGGCTGGGATGAGGGTCATTTAAACATATGGAGCTCAGCACATCTATGATGTGACATAAGCAGGTGTTAAGGATGAGCCCTTGGGTAAAACTCAGACAGCGCACACATTCTCTGCTGAGTGAGCCTTGCCCTTTGCTGCACTGGACCCTGGCTTGCAGAGACTGACTAGATTTTATGTGTCATTATGTAGAATTTAGCAAGTCTTCCTCTGTGTTCACCCCCTCCGGTCATGACTTCAAATCCCAGCTTCCCTCTCTCCCAGTCACGAGTCAGGACGGGAAGGGAACAGTGGGAAGGGATCATAGACAGGGGCTTTCCTGCTGTCCTGCAGCATCTATGTCTAGCAAGCCAGGAGGATTCACTTTCCCAGTCAGACATACTCCTATGGAAGTTGGGATGTCAGGCAGGCCAATAGGCACCTGGAGAAACAGGCCCCAGCTAGGACATTTCTATGGGTTATGAGAAGACTTAAATGAATGAGGATATTGCAGGGATTCATTTAGCTGCTCAGGTACAAAGCAGATTACAAACCTACCACCTGAACAGGGACTTGACCCCTCGGATTAGGACTCTAATGCTCTGTTGACTGAGCTATCAAGCGTCACAGGGGCAGATGGCTGGTTAGGCTGGAAAAGCAACTGGGTAGGCACACTATAGGCAAAAACCTGCAGGAACATTGCATTTTTTTGGTCCAGGGCTCTAGCCCATGGGTGAGAATCGCCCTCTTGGTTCTGCCTTCCTCCCTCCAGCACCCAGAGGCTTTTCTGCCTCCTACAACAGATGTGATGTCCTGCCTTCCCATAGTCTAGGACCCGTGACACTAGCAAACCAGGTGCCAGCTCATGCCAAAGTTCCCATGTCTCAATGGAACACTGACAGATACACGGCTGGAGCCAGTCTGGCTCACCTGTCTAGCAGTATTGTTAAAATAGGTATTAGAATTATAAACTGTGTCTAGTGTTTAGGCTTTATTGAATAGTTATGAGTTTCTAGATGCATTAATTTCACTTTTAATGTCTGTATCCCACACTGTAAGGTAATATTTGAGCGGTTGTATTGTGAGTCTGTGTGATGCACGGGGGTAAAAACGGCTAACAAGAAGGAACTGCATCTCTGTGCTGCGTGGAGTCTGCAGGGCAAGGTGTCTAGTCATAAGCAGTAGATCCCCAGCTGCTCAGCCTGGGTTAGCCCTAAAGGACATATAGAACTTGCTTATTATAGAAGCTTCTATCGCCTTTTGCAACCTATGATTGTAACTCATTTGTGTATCTGTTTACCTGCTTTAACCTTGTAAATAACTCTCATTTCCCTTTTTAATAACTCAATGTAGTTTATGGTAGAATTGGATACAAGGGTTGTCTTTGGTGTGAGATCTAAGGTGCAATTTACCTGGAGTAAGTGACAGGTCCTTTGGGACTGGGATTACACCAAGAATCACAGCAGTATTCAGGTAAGGGACCATCTCTCACAAAGATAAGCTCACCTGGGTGGCAAGGTAGATCAAAGCACCCAAGGGGACTGTCTGTGACTCATGGTTAGGCTATTATAGTGCCTGAGGAGTTTATACTTGATAATTGGTTGGTGAAATCTAAGTATAGGATTCACATTCAATTTGGGGTTTGTGCCCTGCTTCTTAGCAGCCTTCCCTGAGGTTGGTACTCATGCTCTTGAGCCACTGCCGGCAGCATTACAGACCCAACTAATAAGTGCACGTTTAAATTTTAAAAAGCAGTTACCTCCCTCTAACCAGCTCTTCGGCTGCAATTGCACCAGGCCATTTAATTCCTCTACAAGCAAAACATTTCATTTGGCTAATACGGTGTAATAGGAATATTAATGGATTTCCCCCTCCATAGCAGACAGTTTTCAAGAGATTTTTTAATGTCCCAATCTGGAAAAAAAAAGTTAATCCCCTAGTTCTAGTTTATTTGCAGATAATGCAATTACATTGCTAAAATCCTCCCTGAAATGAATACAGATGGTTATAAAACCAAAACATTTTAATTAATCTCTACAATGAACACATGAATATAAGTAGATCATTATCTCTCTCCATGAGCTCTTGCACAGCAGAGAAGGGTTTATGATTTCTTGACAAGGGTCATTAGAGGACTTGAATAATTTATAGCCTGGTGGACAGATCAGGTCACAGCTGATTTGGCCTCAGAGCAGAGGACAAATCTGCTACTACAAGACTAGTAACCTAGTCTGTGATCATTGGTCTTCCTATTCACTGACCTTCTAGATTCTAATTTGAAAAAAAAAATTCCACTGCATTAATGCTTCAGTCTATTAAACGCTAATGGCCAAGTTACAGAATGAAATAAATAAATGAAGTAATAAACGTACACAACCTAGTGATACCACCCTCCATGCTCATTACTGTAACCCTATTCTCACATCCCCCAGCCCCATTGTCTTGCCCCACCTGTTATCTCGTTAAGGTCTCCATAGCAGGGACTGTTTGTTCGTTCTGCAAAGTGATTTTGTAAAGGGACCACTCAGTGCTTGAG